ACACTGGACAGGACTGTTAGCAATGGGCAAAGGACGTCATCAACATTTTTATGTAGTTAGAGTAGATTTATGTATATGTATTTTTTTAATGTTATGTTCTGATTGGTGTCTTTTTTGTACAAAGCTAAGGTCTGTGCTAATACACACCTGCCCAAACAAACAAAAAAACCCCAAACCAACGACATCTAACCCCACAACAATTGACAGTATTTTTGTTAAATAGTTACATAAGGCTCTGATGACCTTCTTGTGCCGTGCATGTCATTTGAAGCTGGGACATCTGTGAAGACAGACAGTACCTATACGGAGAGGGAGACCTATGTGACTTATGTATGTTAGCGGTACATACATACCACTGCAGAGAGGGGCAGAGCAGAAAACTTTGAAGGGGTCCTAAGTTCATCCATTTGACTGCAGCATTAGCACCATTGACGGTGGTGATGAAATATCTTGTATCCACTGCATTACCTTCATTTCTGCTTTTCTCTGTGGAGTTCATACTCTTCCAGTTGCTCTGAATTTTAGTAGCTGTCCCTGGCATGATGTAATTCTTTCCTTTAATAATGAAGCTGAGATTGGTGATGGATTCTTTATCTGCCACCTAGCCTGCGTCTGTGGCTGTCACAGCCCATACTGACATTCTTGAAATCTACTCTCTCATCCTAGATAGCTTGTTCAAGGTCTTCCAGGGGGATGCCTGAAAATTCAGACTGAATGGGAAGCCTGCATGAGGACTGTAGTTTAAACAAGAAGCATTCATTATCTTCTGTAAGAGTTTTTTGAAACAGCAGTTTTACTAACTTTGAGTATAGTGTGAGGCTTATGTATTCTTTCTTTCATTTAATGGAAGGAAAGAGAAATTTCAGACTAAATGCTTTTTTCTTTTTTTAATACAGTATTGGGGCAGTTGGCAACATGGGCAAGGACTCTTAACAGAAGTAGCTCAGTTCCTGTTCAAATGAGTATACATTTTCACCTTGGTTGTCCTTTGATAGTGAATTTTAAATGGAATTATTCAAGCTTTTATTTCCATCTGTGTTCTAATCCTTCAAGCTGCATTTACCACTGATAAGTTTTCACTGCTTCTTGAACACGTCATTAGCATCTGCTTTACTGTACTGTTGATGTGATATGTGTTTGTCTCAAAAGATTATGTTCTTTTAACATAACCAGATCAGTTCAGATGCATTTTATGCTATGATGTTGGGAGTAGCTATGAAATTCAGCTATGGAAGAAAAGTCCTTCCCCCTGGGAATACAGAGGAAATGTGTAAGACACCAGCATGGATTCAAGACCTTAATAGTGTTTGAAGTCTCCTGAGTTTTCCTCTTTTCTCTCAGACACCTCTTTTTAGTCTGTTTGGATTTTCTTATAAATTGCTTCCTGCTTGCTATAGCTTCTTTCTAGCTTGTGATACCATTGTAGAAAAACTTCACATTCTCTTGAAAGACATCTTGACTGTCTTCCCACCTTGGAGTACTCACAAGCTTCTGTTGGAGTGCCACATATCATCTTGGGTGCCACAAGTGACCAAACCAAAAGGAAGGTTTCTGTTTAGGAGTTACTATTAGGCTAAATTACTTTCTCAGGCTCTTTGATGTGCTATTTTGACCAGTCAGCGTTCAGATATGAAGATGTCAGATGAAAAAATATGTACCCTTCTCTGATATTTTCTTAAAGATGCCCCATCATCACCATTACAAGTAATTTATTTTGCAGTAAGTGGTCATTATAAGAATTTCCACTAATTTTATGTGGTTTTATGACTGTGAAGGACTAGAAGAGCTGAATATCTTAATATAAAAAAAAAAAATTACAAAATCTATCACGTCTATGAATTTCCACCTCTTGCATTGCAAGATTATTTGGACTGAGACTTAGCAAGAACTGCTGATGAAGGACAATGGGAAAAGCAGAATTCCTCCTTGCAAATGGACCTTTTATGATAACTGAGAAGCTAAAAGGTAACTGTCAGCCTGTCTCTGTCCTCTGCTTAACCCTCTGTATAAATATTGCCAACATTGGACATCCCAGGAAGCACAAAAAAGCCTTTCTTCTCACTTCAAGCTCTTGCTGATGAAGTGGGCTTTGTAATAGTGCTTCAAATTACCAGTGCTCCACCACTGAACTAAGTCTTTCCTTCTGGTTTCTTAAGCTGGCAGCACCAGTGTAATTGGGAACTAACAAAAACTGTCTTAAATAAATAAATGGGGGGCCGGGGGCATGCAAACCCTGGACCTTACCAACATGGTAAGAAGGAGCAGGAAACCTGCAAATGTACTTTAGCAGTTGCTTATTTGAAATGCCTCTTCTTTATGAATTGTTTAAAACACTTGAGCTTTGTACAGGTTATTACATTACTCTTAAATGCCTTATCAAGTAACCAAGAGTAAACAGTTTTACTGTCTGCAATTTGCCCAATCAAAAATAAATAAAAATTAACATTTTATTCAAGTGAAGTGTATAGTTCTCACTTCAGCTAGTATCCAGCACTATACACCCAATTTAGGTTTTTTCAGAGATTTCACAGCAGAGGTGGCTGTTGCAAGTGGTCTTCAGGAGCAGAAATCTTTATTTTTATGACAGACTGCATATTACATGCAAAGTATTCAAATAAAAGTCTGACTTACATCAGATGCAATTAAATATGCTATTAAAATTTAAAAGAAGCAGAAATTGCTTGTTGCTTTTAAATGTGCAGTGTTTATAAATATCAGAACTGTTTTGGTTTGCATGCTTATCCTAGGGAAAAAGGAACAAAATGTCTTTTGGGAATCACCTTTTAGTCTTGAGCATTTTAATTCAAATTTAGGGTACAGCTGTCTCCTATGCCAGTATGGTGTGGGGGAAAGTGTAAATTGTGGGAGTTCGGTCGATGCACTGGGAGCAATGTAAGGCTCTTATGCTTTTGATATTCCTCAAAATAAAAGCATATAATTACTTGGCTAGTTGGAGTTAATGCGTAATGGATTTGCTTTACCAGGCACCCTGCAGGGATGAGTATGTTTGTCTAAAGAGGAGGAGCAGATGTAGCAATTTAAAGGTCCCTAAGTCCTTCTCTTCAGCTTGCATTTTCCTGCTTCTGCATACACAAAGGGATGAAGTCTCTTCTCTCAGTCCTATATGACAGCTTCTCCAGCAGTATATTTGTCATTGTCCTTCATTGGCACTTACTCTTCAGATACTTTGTAGTTGCTGTAGGTCTTTACCAGTCAAAAGAACTAAAGGGCCTGGAAAATGAACTAACGGCATTGTCAGGACAGGTGTATTGATAGCATAATCCTCAATGCAAATGTATTCTGAGTTAGTGGGGAGATAATTCATCGTCTTCAGCTACTCTGCATTATCTTGTTAGTGAGCCTGTGGCAGGCACGTGAGAGGTCACTGCAGTCTGTGAAAGAGCTCTGTATTTCCAGGTAGGGTGGAGAATGATCTGAGCAGTGCCAGGAAGTTAAGGACAGAGATAAATCCTCTCATCCCTTTCAGGTTTGTATTTGCAAAGAAATATTTAGTAGTAATGTTAATTAATCTGACCTGAGAAATTCCAAAGGGGTTGTTTATAGATACAGGAAGATGTGATTTATTCTTCACTGTGCAAACAGTAAGAAAATATGACTATTCTTTTGGGGGCATGTGTGTCTATTTCCTTCATTATGATCAAGAGACCAATAAGTTGCTGGCCTGGCAGCTTAGACAAGTCTTCTCCATATGCTTTATATCATGGACCATAGGTACTGAAACTAGTAAGGTACTGAATTGCATAACTAATAAAAGGAAGCATAAGAGAAAAGCTTTATCTTAGGAAGTTTTCCAGTCGTTTAACCATATACTTTTAGGTTTTACATATAAAACAGTGTACATTGTATTACTGTCCATAATTTATTTTAATTACAGATAATAACCAGTCAAAAAAGAGCAAATACAAAATACTTGAGACAGAAATTTATTTATTTTAATTAGTAAAATTCCTTGCCTCATGTTTCCTAATAAGCTCCCCTGTCATGCAGGTAGGTGCCTTGACGTCCCACTCCCCTTTCTGCCCTCCTCAGCAAATCTGGAGTGGGATATGAGGTTGTTGCCTTGTTTATTTTTTGGGGTCTAGTGCTTGTTGTCCAAAAATGACTGCTCTGCTTACACTGATAAAACTTTACGGTCATTTCCCGTCAGAAGTGTGCCAAGTCTGGACCTCTTACCTTCCAAGATCAGAGGCGTTCAGCTTAAGGTGGTGGAAGCAGGCATGGGTTGAATGCTGTAGCATTACAGAAAGTAAAAATAGAGGTAGCTGAACACGAAGCCATAATACAGCTGCTGTGATGACAGGTGCAATTCTGACACTCTTTAAGAGACAAATGAGTCACACAGGCAGGAAGCTTTGCTTGGTTTAAGCGACAAACAGAAGTGAATACTGATCCACACTGATTTAGTTGCCCGTGTTCTGAAATGACGTCCACAGACACCTGGAATAGAACAAAAAGATTGGTGTGTGCTGATACAGTGATAGGAGCCAGGGCTTTCTAAACTGGCAGGTGGAGAATGCTCAGATGTTCTTGTTGCTACATTTCATAAGCAAAGATTTCTTTTGAGGAAGTAATGACATTTCTATCAACAGGAGAGTGAACACTTTGCTCTTCTAATGTCAGAGCCATTGGAACTAAATTCATCGCTCCTCAGTGTCAGGGCTTCCATTAAGCCAATGGTACTACTAAGATTTAAGTTACACCCCAGGGCACCAGCCACAGCAGTGGATCCTTATTCTACTTCTCCTTCTCCCATGTGCATCATATAGAGCCTAGAATGAGACAGCTGTTTTCACTCTGGTGAAGCTCTGTTAGTGTTTGAATAGAGTGGTGATGAAATAAGTGGGCTTTCTGTGCAGGAAGAGGTGAATGTCTTGTGCTGTCATTGCAGCCCATATAGCAATGTAGTCTATCTTTTTTTTTTTTTTTTTTCTTTTTTAAATAGTAAAAATGTTACATTTCCATTAAAAATTTAATTTTAGGGTAAGATGGTGAAAGGAATGGGGGGTGCCATGGACCTGGTATCCAGTGCGCAGACCAAAGTGGTTGTCACCATGGAGCACTCGGCCAAGGTAAGGCTCTGCCGCTTCTTTCTAAATAAGTGTTTTGTGCTGTACCAAAAAAAGAAGAAAAACCTTAGAGGAGAAGAAGAAGAGACTCCTTGCATTCATTCTGCTGCTCTGTGAGGATTTGACAGTTCTGCTGTTAGTTATTATGGAGGTGCAACAGGGGGCTATGTTAGCATGGTTCCTTTCCTCTTCTAAGTAAGTGAATCATTCACCGTGGAAAAAAATGAAATATTAACTTGATGTTTAAAAGCTGCACACATTTTTTTAGTTACTTCATGCAAATTTAATGAGAGTGGCAATTGCCAGAGCTACAGTAGATGCTACCCCAGAGGTTTTACTCTTTGTCTCAGAATAATTTGAAAAATGAGATTCCCCATAGTTAAATACTTGTTATGATAGAAAGATATTTACCTTTGAAGTTGCCAGTCAAATTGGTACTGACAGCTTAATAGAATAGATCTTTTTGGCATGATGAGATGCAGGCTGCCTTACATCATTTTGTGACAGAGGTTAATCTAGACACTTCTTTGTGGGGGGAGTTTTATAGATATAAACAGTCTCCTACAGAAGGTCACAGGAAACTTGTCATTTGAAACTTCTAAAATGGGACTGCCCAAACTATGAGAAAAATGTACTGAAGGACAAAAATCTGTGTTTCAGGGAACTATGCTGAAAGTTTGAAAAGGAACTTTCTGTTTAATTTCTGTGTTTCTGTTATTCCAAATTTGTCGTATGTCTGCAGTAAGAATTAGTTGTGTATTGTTCAAGATAATAACCCTGTCAGAATGCATAAGGGTAAGCATAGGGAATTTTCATGGTAAACTGTAGTAAATATGTAAATATGAAAGCTAAATATATTAACAATTGTGTGGTTTTTAAATGTGATTTCAAGAATGAATTTCACTTAAAAAATTGTTGAAAAATATAGTAGTTTCACAGTTTATACTAAGCTGTGATCTTAAGGGGCACATTTTCAGTAACAGGGCTGAGTCTGACCCAATAGTTTTTGCATGCATATGTGTAAATAAGTAAATGGAAGTACAAAGCAAATTCATCTATATGACTTGCATCCCTATCACAGCCTCCCAAAAACTGGATATGTAATTATCCGTTTGCTCAGACACATACTTCAGGTATTAATGTGATCTGAATAAATATTTATGCTAAATATCTAGTTACAGTGGAATTTGATTGAGGCTCAGAGTCCACACACAGTGTAATTATTCATGCCAGTTTTTCTCTTAAAAGTACTATTACCAAAATCTTTTTTCAGTACAGTGTTTGGAAGTTATTTGCATGTTGTTTTTCTGTCAGTAGGAGTACTGAAACCTGAAAAAAATGCAAACACAGATAGGTTCACTGTTACCAAAAGTCCAGGTGTAGACTGATTTATTTTGGCATATGTAACTTGGCTCTTAGGTACATGGGATGCCTAGTGTGCACTTCTATAGAGCCAGTTACAGGCTTTCATAAATTATTTATTCTGCTTTTGTGAGAAGGCACTGCAAAAATAAACTATGTGCGTGATTTTTCATTTTATTCTTATTTTAAAATGGAGGGTATTCTTGGC